GCCCCTGCCCCTGCCCCTGCCCCTGCCCCTGCCCCTGCCCCTGCCCCAATACCCCTACATGCAAGGACCCTAGCAAGCACAGCAGCTATAAGCTCTCTACCAGATCAGAGCTCCATCATCCTTCTAGCCCATGTTTATACCAGCAGTGTTCAAAGAGCAACACATCATGCCCCACCCTGCCTGCCTCCCAAGAAGCTTTCTCTAACCCAATACACACAGCTGCCTCTTGGGAGGCCTTCTCCAATGCAAGACACTCAGGCCAACCAATACTAGAGACTACTAGATGGCAAAAGGCAAGCTCAAAACATAATCAACAGAAGCCAATACAATATGGCACCATCAGAAGCCAGCTTTCCTACTACAGCAAGCCCTGGATATCCTAACATACCTGAGGAGTAAGACTGTGACCATAAATCCCATGTCATGAGATCATAGAGGCTTTTAAAGAATATATAATCCCCTTAAGGAAATACAGGAAAACACAATCAAACAGGTAGAAGCCCTTTAAAAGGAAGTGAATAAGTCCCTTAAAGAAATACAGGAAAATACAACCAAACAGGTGAAGGAAATGAATAAAATGGTCCAACCTAAAAATGGAAATAGAAGCAATAAAGAAAACACAAATAGAAACAAACTTGGAGATGAAAAACCTAGCAAAGAGAATAGAAACTACAGATACACTGTCACCAACAGAACATAGTAGATGGAAGAGAGAATCTCAGGTATGGAAGATAGCATAGAATGAATGGATATATCTGTCAAAGAAAATGCCAAGTGTAGAAAATTCCTAACCAAAAACATCCAGGATATTTGGGACACTGTGATCAGAATAAATCTAAGAATAATGGGCATAAAAGAGGGTGATGATTTCTAGTTCAAAGGGCCAGAAAACGTTTTCAACAAAATCATAGAAGAAAACATTCCTAACTTAAAGAAAGAGGTGGCTATAATCATATAAAAAACATACAAAAGGTCAGATAGATTAGACCAGAAAAGAAAATCCTCCCACCATCTAATAATCAAAATACTAAATGTACAGAACAAAGAAAGAATATTTAAAGCTGTAAGGAGAAAAGGCCAGGTAACATATAAAAGCAGACCAATCAGAATATATGTGACTTCTCAATAGAGAATCTAAAAGCCAGAAGATCCTGGACAAATGTAGTGCAAAGCTTGAGAGACTACAAATGTCAGTCCAGACTACTATACTCAACAAAACCCAGCAGAAATCAGTCAATTAGAAACACAGAAAGCAATTCAAAGAATTAACAAAACCAAGAGCTGTCTTTGAAAAAATCAACAAGATAGACAAACCCATAGCTAATGGAAAGGCACAGAGATAGTATCCAAATTAACAACATCAGAAATAAAAAGTGAGAGACATAACAACAGAAACTAAGAAAATCCCCCCCCCCAAAAAAAATAGGTCTTATTTCAAATGCCTATACTCCAAAAAAATAGGAAAATATAAATGAAATTGGTTAATTTCTAGACAGATAACACATACCAAAGTTAAATCAAGGTTACATAAACTACCTAACTGGACCTATAACCCATAAGAAAATAGACCCAGTCATTAAAAGCCTCCTAACCAAAAAACAAAAAATGTTCAGGGCCAGATGGTTTTATTGCAAAGGTTTACTGGACACTCAAAGAAGAGTTAATACCAATACTCCTCACACTCTTCCACAAAATAGAAACAGAAGGAATACTACTGAATTCATTCTATAAGACCACAATTATCCTAATACCTAAACTAACAAAGACTCAAAAAAGAAAGAGAACTTCAGATCAATTTCACTTATGAATGTTGATGCAAAAGTACTCAGTAAAATTCTTGCAAATTGAATTCAAGAACACATCAAAAACATCATTTACCTTGGTCAGGCAGGTTTCATCTCAGGGATGCAAGGATGGTTCAATATACAAAAATCCATCAACATAATCCACAGTGTAAACAAACTGAAGGAGATAAATCACATGATCATCTCATTAGATGGTGCTGAAAGGGTTCGCAACCATATAGGAATAACAAAATCAACCAACCAGACCCCCCCAGAGCTCCTAGAGTCTAAACCACCAACCAAAGAGTATACATTGAGGGATCTATGGCTCCAGCTGCATATGTAGCAAAGGATGGCCTTATCTGGTATCAATGAGAAGGGAGACCCTTGGTCCTGTGGAGGCTCTATGGGAGTGAGTGGGTTGATGGGCAAGCTCTCTCATAGAAGCAGGGGGAAGGGTGTATGGGATAGGAGGCTTGCAGAGGAGAAACCAGAAAGGGGATAACATTTGAAATGTAAATAAAATAACCAAAATAGTATATATGTATATGTATTCGAAGCACATACTTAAACATAATAAAAGCAATATGTTGCAAGCCAATAGCCATCATCAAACTAAATGGAGAGAAACTTAAAGCAATTCAATAAAATCAGGATTAAGAAAAAATGCCCACTCTCTCCCTATCTATTCTTGAAATATAGTTCTAGCTATAGCAATAAGACAACAAAAGGAGATTGAAGGGATACAAATTGGAAAGGAAGAAGTCAAGGTATCACTATTCTCAGATGATATGATAGTATACATAAGCAATCCCCAAAATTCTACCAGAGAACTCCTACAGTTGATAAACAACTTCAGGAAAGTGGCAAGATACAAAATTAACTCAAAGGAATCAGTAGCCCTTTTTTACTCAAATAATAAACTGGCAGAGAAGGAAACTAGGGAAGCGACACCTTTCACAATAGCCACAAATAATATAAAATATCTTGGTGTAACTCTAACCAAGCTAATAAAATATCTATAAACAATAATTTCAAATCCCTGAAGAAAGAAACCAAAGAAAATGCAAGGAGATGGAAAGACTTCCCATGCTCATGAATCTGTAGGATTAGCACAGTGAAAATGGCCATCTTACCAAAAGCAATCTACAGATTCAATGCAATTCCCATCAAAATTCTTACACAATTTTTTACAGACCTTGAAAGAGCAATTTTTAACTTCATATGGAAAAAGAAAAAACTCAGGATGGCCAAAAACAATCCTGAACAATAAAAGAACCTCTTGAGGAGTCCCATCCCTGATATAGTACCTCAAGCTATACTATAGAGCAATAGTGATAAAAAAAATAAAAACAAAACAAAAAACCCTGCATGATACTGGTACAGAAACAGATAGGTTAATCAATGGAATAGAATAGAAGACACAGAAATAAGCCCACACACCTATGCACACTTAATTTTCAACAAAGAAGCCAAAAACATGCAATAAAAAAGAGTATCTTCAACAAATGGTGCTGGTCTAACTGGATATCTGCTTGTAAAATAATGCAAATAGATCCATATTTAATCACCCTGTACAAAATTCAAGTCCAAGTGGATCAAAGAACTCAACATAGAACTTGGTACACTAAATCTCATAGAAGAGAAAGTGGGAAAGAGCTTTGAATGCATTGGTACAGGAGACAACTTCCTGACCAGAATATCAATGGCTCAGGCCCTAATATCAACAAGTGATAAATCAGACCTCATGAAACTGAAAAGTTTGTAAGGCAAAGGACAATGTCAATAAGACAAAAATGGTAGCCTACAGACTGGGAAAGATCTTCACTAACTTGACAGAGAGCTAATACTTAAAATACATAAAAACACTTAAGAAGTTAAACTCCAACAAACTAAATAACCCAGTCAAAAATGGGACACAGAACTAAGCAGAGAATTCTCAACAGAGGAATTGTGAATGGCCAGGAAGCACTTAAAGAAATGCTCAACATCCATAGTTATCAAGAACTACAAATCAAAACAATCCTGAGATTCCACCTTACACCAACAAGAATGCCTAAGGTCAAAAACTCATGCTAGTGAGGATGTGGAAAAAGGGAAGCACTCCTCCACTATGTGTGGGACTTCAAAGTTGGATAGCCACTCTGGAAATTAATCTGGCAGCTTCTCAGAAAAGTGGAAATAGTTCTACCTGGAGACCCATCTGTACTATTGCTGAGCATATACCCAAAAGATGTCTCACCATACCCCAAGGACATCATGAATTTTGCAGGCCAATATGTGGAACTAAAAAATATCATCCTAAGTAAGATAACCCAGACCCAAAAGGACATGCAAGGTATGTACTCGCTGATATGTGAATATTAGCCCAAAAGTACAGAATTCTCATTATATACCCAACAGATACAAAGAAGTTAAACAAGAAGGAAGACCCAATTAAGGATGGTTGAATCAAACTTAAAAGGTGAAACAAAATAGTCAAGGGAAGCAAGAGGAGTGAGGAAAAAGAATGGGGGAGGGGAGAAGAAGGAAAATCTGGATGCAGGATCAGGTGCAGGGAGAGACAGGAGAGAGGCCCAAGGGTCCCAGAGAAGGAATGAAAATCTGCAGGTGGGGGTGGGGGATGTCTAGAAAGTCCAAGAGACCTGGGATATGGGAGGCTCCCAGAAATTGATGCACATATCCTTAGTCAAGATGCCTGACAGTGGGGACATGGAACCTGAAGAGGCCACCTCCTGTAGCCAAGCAGGACTCCCAGTGGAGAAATAAGGACAGCAACCTACCCACAAAACTTTCCACTGAAAATTTATCCTGTTTAAAAGAAATGTAGGGATAGTGAAGAGACCAAAGGAAAGGCTAACCAATAACCAGCCCAACTTGAAACCCATTCCATGGGTCAGCACCAATCCTTGACATTATTAATGGTATTCTGTTAAGCTTGCAGACAGGAGCCTAACATAACTGAACTCTGAGAGGCTCTACCTAGCAGCAGACAATAACAGAAGTAGATACACATAACCAAACCTTAGATGGAGGCCAGGGATGCTTATGGAAGAGTTGGGGGAAGGAGTGAGGGCTCAGAAGTAGATGGGAATCCCACAGGAAGACAACCAGAGTCAACAGTCCTGGACCCCTTGGAGTTCTTCAGAGTCTGAACCACCAAACAAAGAACACACATAGGCCAGAAAGAGTTGCTCTGGCACATATATAGTAGATAGGTAGATCAGTCTTCATGACTGCTCTATCTGGCCTAAGGGGGAGAGGATGTTCCTAAGCTGGCAGAATCTTGATGTGCCAGAGTGTGTGGATACTTGTGGGGTGACCTTCTCAGAGGGGTGGGAGAATGGGAGAGGGACTCTGAGGGAGAGACTGGAACCTGAAGCAGCATTTGGGATGTAAATAAATAAGTAAACACATAATTTTAATTCAAAAAAAATGCCATTAACAAAAGCAAATTAGAGAAGAACGGGGCTTGTGTGGCTTACAGTTCCAGAGGCATGGAGATCACAATAGCAGAGAAGACATGACAAGAAAGCACTAGTGTCTTTCACCTTTCAACCGTCTAATCACACTTTCCATCCTCGAACAGGAAGTAAGGCCAAACTATAAACCCTCAAAGCCCACACCCAGTGACATACTTCCTTCAATAAGGCTGTACCTCTAAGATGTTCTGCAGTGTCCCCAAACAGCCTCACCAGTATGGAACAAATATATTCAAATGCATGAACCCACTGGAAACAATTCTCATTCAAGCCACCACACTCAATAAATGAATCATTTATTAATTAAGCTAGTGCTTAATATTTCGATGTAGAAAGAATGGAACTTATACTCTAAGACAACATTCAGTTATTTCTAATCTTTCCTGTAGATGAACTCTGAGCCTAAAATTTAATGTTCCTTACAGAGAAAAAAAAATCAGGTAAAGGGAGAGGACTAGATTGTTTAGGGTTAGTCCCATGTCAAGAGAGTGTCACACAGATAGAATAAGGTTGATTGACTTGACTTCTTGTTGTAAAGAATTGGAAGTGAAGTCCCCCCTTCTGTACAAATAGTTTCACTTTCTCAGAAAAGACACGCAGTCTACACTTTCATTCTGACCAGCCAGTTTAAGGAACTCTTCCTGTTTTCACTGGGCCCGGGAAGTAGATGCTAGAAGAGCAGTGGGAACGTGGGGGCAGTTCTCACTTTCTCACATCATTTGTAACTTATACCACTTTTCTGGTAAGTTGATGATCATGCCCAGCTGCTCTTGGTAGAACAGAGATGCACGGAGTATCAGGGAGTCTTTCCGAGTACCCTTGTAAACTCTTACCACAGCTCCAAGCAGTCTGTCCTACCAAGGACAATATAGGCCCAAGTTTAGTCCCAGGTCTTTCTGACTTCAGCTAAGAAATACCTCTAGACAACTATAAAGCCATTTCCAAACGATGCTATCCACACTAGCTTTGGATAACCCAATAAGATTATATGTGTGTCAGCCAGCAGTTACTATGTTACGGTAGCATACGTCTAAGATAATGACTTACAAAGAGGAGAGGTTTATAGTTTTATAGATCTACTCCATGGCTAAGAAGCAAAAGAGAAGAAAAAGAAAAGGCTGGGGTTCCAAGATCTCCTTCCAGGCCATACTCCAGATTACTCAAAGTCTAACTCTGGATCCCATCTCTTAAGTTTCTACCACTTTCAAATAATTTATACTTGCAGACTAAGCCTCCAATAATTGGCCTTTTGTGAGGTTTAAATCAAACCACAGAACTATTCAAAAATGTTATCACTGACAAATATAGGAATTTTAAAATTTCCTTTTTTTCATGTATTTTCCTCTCAGTCTTTTTTTTTAATTATCACAATATTAATTGCAGTAAAATATATGATAGGAAACTACAAAGAAATAAAACTACCTAAAATCTTAGAACTACAGATTTAGAAGTAATAACATCCACAGAGGTAGATGGGATGCCAAGTAATGGATTTATTTAACTTGAGTACAGAAATACTAAAGCCCACACAATTTTTCATGACGTAGTTTTTGAAAGACAGACTGGTCTAGGGGGCATCATTGTTAAGTGTTGCATGCTGGCTCTTGGGAGGAGTCAGTCTGCAGTTTTTGGAGAGGTCCCCCTGGACTATGGCAGTTTTGTCCTAGATTAACCTAATGACTCAGCTCCATTTTATTTTTGTCTTTCAGCTGAAACTAAGATCTGCTTCAAATACTACCATGGAGTAAGTGGAGCCCTGAGAGCTACAACCCCCAGTGTCACTGTCAAGAACTCAGCAGCCCCTGTAAGTCCTGCTCTCCCTCTTGCTCAGACACAACTCACATAGCTATTTGCTTTCCTGATATTTTCATGTGTGTACACACACACAATTATATACATGCACACGTCTGCAATTACTCAACCTAATATATATAAAGATACATTGATAGATGAATAAAGAATGCACACACACACACACACACACACACACACACCTCTGACTAGTGATAAAGAAAGACACCAAAAGCTATCTTTTTCAGAATATAAGCAATCTGAATGTAAGAGACATGCCAAGTACCTGGATTTCCCTCAGCAAAGTATTTCCATGGGGTATACTTAGTAGCAATGTATGAGGCTTTCTTTAAGAAACATGTTTATAATAACTGATTTTGGATATTTATATTTTTGATGTTTTAATTTCTTTTTAAACTTAAAATTTAATTAGTTAGATTGTATTGCCTCAAATTCATCTTAGTTATATGAAATGATAGACCTAGAAAAGATAAAATCTCACTTTCTTTTTTTTTAATAATTTATTTATTTTTTTCAAATCGTAATTTTTACTCATTCACACAGGGGTTATAAACACAGAAAGGCAGGACGTGGGGAAGGGGATGACACTGGAGCGTGGATGTTCAGGGGGAATACAGATATCTTTCAGAACAGGATATCGGGTGGGTGAGGGTTCAGGGGACAGGTCACTATGACTCTGCCTATGATTCACTTGTCTTTATCTAAGTTGGTATTATCTTCCAAAGCTATCTATTTACAAGGTCTATGACTACTCAGACTGGTAAATTTCCACAAAAGCTGCCTGTTTACATTAGCTTACAGCCATCTGTTTCCATGTTTTTCCACAGAGACCCAAGACTTGGTGTTAGTCTACATGTATGACAGGCCTATTGCTGAAAATCTCACTTTCTATTCTTTGGGTAAATGCAGACCCTATCTAACAAGTGAACCCAAGCAATGTACCTCGAGCAAACCACTAGCAAGCAAATTACAGAGTCAGGATTCAGCTTTGTTTGCTTTTTGTGTATTTTGGTTTGACATTGTTATTGTTGATTATATTCTTTTGAGACATGGTGAGACCATGTAGTCTAGGCTGTCCTGGAACCAACTATTCAAGTTGGGTTTACATAGATATTTCTATGCTTCCCAAATGCTGAGATTATAGAGGTGTGCCATCAAGTTCAGCTGTACATCCAGGATTTAAATCATACCTTCGTTTCTCTACTGTGTGGTTCTATTCAGTACTACAAGAATAGACATCATCTTTTCCTGAACTCCTCCTCCCATCTTTATCTTTGTACTCTTTCTCATTTTTCTTATTACTTCTTCCAGAGAGTCATAAAATTTATTTTGATCGCATTTATCAATTTTTGCAACTTTGCCCAGAGCCATCCTCTTTCCTACCTACCCAACTTTATAACTTTATATCATTTTTATTATGTTAAGATCATTTATGGTTTGTTGTTGTTGTTGTTGTTGTAGTATTGAGGAGTCGCTTTGCTTGTTTGTTTGTTTGTTTGTTTGTTTGTTGAGACAGGGTTCCTCTACGTGCCCCCAGTTGTCCTTGAAGCTGCTATATAGATCACTCACAGAGTGAGTGCTGGAATTAAAAGCATGCCCTACCACACCCAGCTTAAGAGCAATTTTTTGCAGCTTAAATATTTTTGAATGTATAGTTTTGCACTGTAGAGTGGTCCTACTAGAGACTACATTCTTAGAGGAAACTGACTCTCGCTCTTCTAGTAGCTAACAAGTGCCAAGAGTACCATTCTTGCCCAGCTCCTCATGCCATCCTAAGAGTTGGTCTGACTTGGGCCTGGATAGATGTTAAATATTCTATCACAATCACAGTGAGTTCACATGTGCAGCTGCCCTGCTGTGTCCAGAAGACATGGTTTCTTTGTAGTCATCTACTGCCTCAGGCTCCTACACTCATTTTGCCCCCTCTTCCACAATTCCACAATGATATCTGACCCTCACCTGGTGGGCATGCTCTCTTTAAGCCTGAGAATGCTGTGATTTCTTATTCTCTGCAACTTGACCAGTTGTGAGTCACTGTGTTGATCACCATGTACTGCAAATACAAGCTTCTCAGATGAAGACTGAGAGATGTATTGACAATGGGTGTAAAGAAAGTCAGTTTAATACTATGCACATTTAAGAGAATGATAGTAGTAGAGTTCCCTAAAGCCTATGACTTGTCTAGCCATAGGTTCTTAGCCTGATAATGATTCCAGGTATGTGCTGAGTCTTGTGGAATGAGTCTAAAATGCAATCAGAAAGTGGACGGTTTGTTTTATAACAGTCATGCCACTACCATATAAGTGAGCATGTCTTCCCAGATCAGTCATTATTATAACTTTCAGGGTGCATAGCTGGGTAAAACTGATAATTTTCTCCCCTGGTAGCTTGCATAGCACCTTAAAGTACATTGAAAGCTAGCTAGCTGGTAAGGTTGAGTCTAAGACCAGTAGAAAAAGAAGTAGCTTGAAAGGATACTCTCCAACAAGTTGAGCCATCTGCAGCCTGTGCAGTGTGTTACAGGTTTCAGTCTTTCATGAATCATGGGATTTTGGTGATACAGCTATAACAGCATCACCAATATTCCTGTTGGTAAATCCCTACCCCTTAAAAAAAAATCTCACTGATTCACCAAGGTGGACTCTGGTGGTATCTCTACTTTGGTCTGCCATTAATTCTATCTCCCAATGAATGCTGTCACAAACATTGTGAGAGCCCAGTCCTGAGCCCATGGGATGCTGAGAATAGAGAGTAGCTCTGGGCTCTCACCACCACATTAAAACTAAGTATATCAATCCAGTATAAGTTCTGGAAAGGGACTTTAGTGTAAACCGTATTTTAACGTGTAAGTAGTTTCTAGGGTAACTGTGTTATTGTTGGCCTTATTTCTTGGTAGAATGAAACAGTTTTCAAGGTTGTTTCTCTTGCATTTCTCTATTTGATTTCTATCACATTAAGGCAGACCAAAAATTTTTTTGTTAAGTAAATGCTATTCCTCCTAAATTAACTATAGCTTTAAGATATTATCATTTTTAAAAAACTAGTAGTGTACTAGAACAAACCTAGCTTTAATTTTGCAACACAAGTTATTTATTGGTAAAAATCCAGTGAACGTCTGAATTAATGTAAGCTTTTATAATCTGATCTGGGAACTTAAGCATACTGCTTCAAAGAGAAAATGTAATTAAGTTTGCTTGAATGCATTTTAAATTCTATTTTCTCACTGATTATTGCTGGTACTCAGTTAATTTTTTAGAGAAAGTTACACCTATAGACATTATATGCCCAAAATACCATTGAGTTATTTAAGAACTACAATAAACCTGTAATTCTTTAGGAAGAAAGACAAGATGTGCAATGTTCTTTTGGTATAACCAACTCTTTAATGTTAATAGTAATAAATTCTAAATACTTATAGTTCTGTTTTTTTTTAATTTCCCTTATCTTTAGCATTAACAGCTATTGTGGTTCTTGTATAAAATGAGGTTGTAATTTATTCTTGATGTTCTGAGGCTCTCATTTACTTGGTGGTCCTAAGCATAAATAAGAACCCATTATGGTAAGATGTTATAGACACTAATGTAAATGTAAATTAAATGTAAGCCCTGTAATTGAGAACTCATAGGTACTGTATCACCTAGTATAGTACTATCCAAAGCCCATAGGACTGGAGCATGAAGCCTTTTGTGCTAGTGTGTAAGGGAAAGGTATGACAAATAAGCTCAGTAACTGTTGGCTTCCAGAAGAGGTGGCATGTGAGCTAAGACTAGCAATATGGATGGAACTCCTACCCTGGAAGGAAAGCAATGTAAGGCTGGGTAGATGGTCATGGTGGACAGAAACACAGGGTCTACAGTGACACAAGCACAGTATGGAGGGACATCTAAGTTATGCTAGGCCTGAAGGACATACAGCTGGTTTTTCTATATCTCTTGCTACACATTTTTATAATACGTTTGTTATTTTGTTGGTAGCAAAAGTAATAAGCTTTATATTTTCTTCTGTTCTCTGTCAAAATTAATTTTTGAACCAAAGTTTCCCTTTTCAGCATCCTTGCCTGGTCGCATTTTTCCAGAGCATTCCTGTGTCTTTTAATAAGCTCATTGTATGCCTTATGATCTCTAATTATATTTCAAAGGACAGAAATCCATTTAGCTATACAATTTCTCCAACACAATATATGATAATCTTTCTGCAGCTTGCTCCATTGTCCACTGAAAACTTCCTGAGTTCCTTATCAAGGATATATCCTGATGGAACATTTTCATCCTGATCTTCCCCATTCTGTGGAGGCATCTGGGGGGCCTACTGGCCTTGAGTACAAGCACTTCCTCTACAGTGCCTTGTGATTTTCTCTTGGAGTGGAGATTCCGTCTTTGGCTGGTCTTGGCAAACATTGCATCAACAAGACCCTTTAAGGCTCCTAGCACAGCTTCCCACAGCTGTCTTATAAGACACCATCAGCTACATCCCTAGTCATGCCAAAGCCTGGGTGCCACAGGTTCAGAGTGAAAGGCAGGAAGATGACATTATCTTGCTACTTGATTTGAGGCCACAAATTCCAAGGCAGATTGTCTCCCAGGTTCACAGTTTCTATAGTGTAATGTATTTTTTTTCCAATGCAAAAGCAAGAGGTTTATTTTCTGGCGTGTCGGGGTCAATCTTCAATTAGTCCCTCAAGGCGAATGACTAGAAGGTGACCTCGAATGACTATTACAAGCAGTTTTTCATACTTTTTAGGTGCACAGGTTACATCAGCAAGGTTACAGTTCAAACTTATTGGCTAAGCATATTGACCTTTAAATCTATTGGCTAGCAAGCATGGGCAGATCATGACACACATTTGAACTCTGTCTGGGACTTTCCGGAGGGTCAGGTGACTATCAATCAGTACATTCTGTGGTTTTTCTGCGAATATTTTTCTCGAGAATGTTCCTGTGAATGGAAAATGGAACTTGCCCTAGCCTTAACCCCAGGCAGGAGGGGGGTAGC